TTCTTCAAAACACTCTTCATCATCATCTTTTTCTTTCTTTTCCTTTGCTTCACCTTTAGGGGGCATGGGCTTCAAACCATCCAGCTCTGTATCACACTGCCACACGCAGAGAGCCCCATCCCGGCTAATTGTGTACAGCTGGAATACGAACCCACAAAGTTACTGTGATCATACAGTATCTTTGCTTCATCATCTGCTGCCCTGCTATAATGAACATACAAATGTAGAAGGGGTAGCCAGACTGCGTGTCACCATTAGGGTGAGATATTTCACTTAGTCCTCTAAGATCCCACAAGCTTTGATTTGAAACACCAACTCATTTGCTCCAGATGAACTCTTTTCTGCCTTCAAAGAATTTCTGAAAAGGCAAGGCAATTTGGTAACCAGCTTCTGAGCTACAGGTGGCGACTTCTTCTTTCTTAAGTGTGTGAAATGGTAACACTTTCTCTGGAGCAATTTAAAATAATTTATTCTCCTCTCCCTTTAACATTCAACTATCCAAGTAAAAGTAGGCATTAAAAATAAATTTGCAGATTCTTGATCAAAGTGCATGAGTCAAAAGAGATATTACCTATATTTTTTCTAATTTCCAGGAAATTAGGAAAAACAGCAACTTGAAACTCCACATCCTTATCCTTATAACATCCACATCCTTATAAAACACAGCTACAAATATGTCACTATAAAATTGTAAGGACATAGTATGACCACACTTACATCTAGACTGTTCTCTTCGAAAAAACAGGCTACTATTGCATCTTTATGCCCTCCAAGCGAGTAATAGATCAAGTTTGCCCATCGCTCTGCTCCGAACACCCAGGTTGACATGTCCTTGCTCCCTACAGCGAAGCACCTGCAAAAGAAAAGCCACGCTGGCTGAGAGCACTGGTTGGCAACGCTTGTCGCTGAGCAGAGAACACTGTGGAAGTGGTGGCCAGCGTCTTCACATTAACAGACAATAATTAACAACAAACAACACAGTTCTAAAGCTGGCAACATCAGCAGAGGGCTATGAGATTAAATATTTAAAGCATGAACACAGACAACTCTCTGAAAATACGCTGCTTTATGGATAGCGGGGCATTTTCAAGGAAGAATGTATATTTTCATACTTTCCAGTTTAATAATATTTTTTAACTTAGGAGACAATGAGAAATGAATAATGCATTTTTACTGCTAGTAAAAAGCCACAGAACAAAGAAGACAATACATCACCATCCGTATAAAAATATTAACAAAAGGAAATGGTAGGTAGTGCTTTAGTTTAACAACTCACTTGGAATCATCAGTCCAGTCAATACATGTTGTTTCATCATATGGACCATAATAAGTCTTGTCCAGAACAAATGCATTAAATTCTCTTTTTCTTCCAGGAGCATGGTACATAAGAACCACGTTGTCTTTTGTAATCACAAATTTCCTGTCAAATGGGGAAAAAGAAAAAAAAAAGGGGGGGGAGAGGAGAAGAAAGGGAAAAAAAAAAAAAAAAAAGCATAATTATATCCAAAGCTGTTGAAACTTGAAACAAAGAATTGCTCTAGAGACAATATAACGAAATGTAACAAAGCAATATTAAAATGTTTGGGGTTTTTTTTGTGTTACATAAGCGTGGTGAAGAAGATGGAAGAACAGTTAGGAGGTAGAGCAAAGCTGCTCAGTTTTAAGAGTTCCTCTGTGGAGGGCAGCTCTAAAAAGCAAGTGTTAAGCCTGGCTCTCAAGCTCTGCTACTCTCTTCTCCCCACTTCAGTTTTACAGAAACAGTAGCCCCAGTTTGAATTATGAATTAATAGTGATTAATTAATGTGACGTCTTAATGTCACGATTAAATAATGTGATTAATTAATAGTGATTAATTAGTGTTTCTAGCTTAATTACAGCCAGCTTATGAAGTAACTCCTATGGGCTTGTTCTGAAACGCGCATATGCCACTTACTTGCCATCGGGGGAAAAGGAGACGCTGTGCACCGGCTTATGGAAATGGAACTGATGTATCACAGATTTACCGATGAGGCTGACGAGCAAAGCGGCTCCCTCTGTAAGAGAAGCAGATGAGCACTCAAATTATTCAATTCTCCTGCCAAAACAGAACACTACCTTTTCCTTTTTTTTTGAGAGAAAGTACTCTCTCAGAAACTTTCCGTAACAATGTTTTCAATAATATTGAGAAGACAAAAAAAAAAAAATCAGAATTACAAGTCCTGTTTTAGAAAGCCTGGTTCTGTTAGGAAAAACATCTTTCTCAAAGATCCTAACAAATTTAATGCACAATGTTTCTTAATTTGTGCTGAGGTAGAGTGCCCAGCAAAACAGACTTTCAGTTTTTTTTTTTTTTTTCTTCACCTGTTAGAAAATGCAAATACCTTCATCAATTAGTATGGCAAAATTTCCATCTGGAGAGAGCCCCACACACGTGATGTTGTGCCGTGTAGCCAAGGGGAGTGTTTCACACTTGTTACTGCAAGGACGAGAGATAAACAGAACGAAGTGAGTACACGGGCACAGGAACAACAGCCACCTCCCCTGTCAGCAGCGAAGTACAGCCTGGGTTCCACCTTGAGGCACTGAATCAGCTCAGGGGTACAACCACCAGCCTACATTAACGCGCTCGACTGCTGCAACCCTGCGAACACCAGGGAGGTGAGACGAGCCCAGCAGAACCAGAGTCAGTCCCGCGCCCGACTGCAGGGAGAGGTGGACAGGGGACCTGGCGTCTCCCATTTATGAGATGCAGTACGAGCTAGGGGAACACACGGAAACGACAGCACCAAACCAGCCACAACCCATTTCTTCCTTGTATTTCCCAAACGCCATTCCACAGGCACATGTTACACGTTCCCACGGGGGAACGCGGGGAAAAGCAGCACCCTGCAGTTCCCTGGGGCAGGGGGGCTCCATCCAGCCCTTAACACTCAGCCCGAAACCCCCGAGGTTTCGCCCGGGAATGCCGAGAGCCCCTGGAAAGCCCAGCGCCACTTCCCCCTACGGAGCAGGGGCAGAGGCAGCGCGGCCGCGCTCGGGGGCCGCCGGGGCCCCGCGGCAGGACGGGCGGCCCTCGGGGCCCACTGACTTCTTGAGGTCGAAGAGGGAGATCCTGTTGCCGACGGGGCTGACGAGGCCGCTGCCATCGCGGGTGAAGCTGAGGTTGCCGCGGCGGTAGACGGTGCCCAGCAGGCCGGAGAACTGCGCGGGGGAGAGAAGAGACGCGGGG